TAAAACCTGAAAATGCAAATATATCTGACTTACTTCCACTTTATCATTTATTTCAGAAAGGATACCATTTAGACAGATTAATTTTGTTATTTGAAATACATACCCAAGAATTAACTCAGATATTGCTTAAGCCTTTGAAAGTTATCAACCTAACAATTTGGACCTAACTTTTATATAATCACATATGACAAAAATATTATACTATGTATTGTTAAATTTTTAATTAAAGTTTGTATTTATTTTTGAATTACTGTTTGTTTATGTATTGAAATTGTGCAAATTACTTAGATTTCACGTTTTAACAAATAAAATTTACTCTTAATTTATTGATTACAAAGATTATAAAGGTTATAGGTCAAAAATAAACAGTGAAACTAATAATAATGTACCAAATATTGTGGATTATCTATCCAACAAATGCCATTTTGATCTAATGATTTTTCCATGAATAATGTACTGCTGACAGCAAAAGACATAAGCCATATCATTATGATATATGGAAGAGTACTGGTAGCTATTGAATATCGTTGATATTCTGTTGGAAACATTATTGCAAAGTATCTAAAATTATGCAAATAAAATATTATTTTGAATATTTCGATATATGAATTTTTTATTTATTATATTATTTAAGTTAATTCTTTCAAAAATGTCAAACCTATCTAAGCTTATAGCAGTAAGATGGACAATACTTGCAGTTGTCGAGAATACTCCAGTGACCAAATGAAATTGACACCAATAATATCCTAAATCCCAACGAATTTCACTGATCTACAAATATAAATAATTAAATAATTAAATTATAATTAATAATTATTGACAACTCTGTTTAAAGAAAATATTAAATGCTATAGATATTAAAAATTTTAGCACGTATTTAGTCAATATTAGCTCGCATATTTAAAAAATAAAACTACCATTTACGTGAATTGAAGTTTAATAAGCAATTAACTGACTTGAATACATAAAATAGTTGCTTGCCTGTTTAAAATGATTCATAATTATTGTCAAGTAAAATTTAAAATTTTGACATGACTAATTTTGGTTGGAAAATTTGAAATGATTAATTTTGGTTGCTAAATTAAATAATTTGTTGATAAAATTGGATAAAAGTAACACTTTATTGTAAAATTAAGTTTTTATCTAACCGTTGAATAAAGCGATAATGGCATTACAACAGTACCAACAAGAAGATCAGAAACTGCTAAACTTGCAATAAATTTATTTGTGGCCATACGTCTAAGTTTGCTATCAGTGATAACAGCTAAGAAAACAGTTGCATTACCAATTATTATCATTATAATTAGTACTGTCAAAATTAAAAATCCTGGATTCCATCTGTGTGATAATAATAATAATGATGATGGTGTTGTTGATAATGTTGATGGTGCCTGCAAAATAATATTAATGAACGTTTTAGAGATAATTATGAGAATGTTTAATTTTATGAAAATTTCGATTAGGAAAGGAGCGAATTAAGAAATTAAATTAGATATAATTCTTTGAAATGTTAAAAAATTTTAGTTCAGTTCAAACTTAAGTGAATAAGCTACTTTAATATGAAAAATTTTTTATAAAAAGTAATAAGTTATTAAATTAATACTGAATTTCAAATTATGTATTATTTGCTAAAGTTTGAAAACGTCTAATTTTATATTCTAGTAATCCATATATTAATTTAAATATAATTTAATTATTAAAAGTTATCAAGCAATTTTAATTTAAATTTTCTTTTTGAAGAGATAATTTTTTGCAAAAAATTGCAAATGAATACATACCTACTATTATATATGTATCTCTCAATTTTGTAATAAGTTTGAACTGTTCTGAAAAATTATAATAAAATTCAAAGAAAAATGATATTTTAATTAGAAATCAAACTTTGATAAAAACGTCAGCTTCAGCCGAATTATCAGTATTAATCAAATCCATTCAACTGAGGTAGAACCGCAAATTTCTCGAATACATCCTGTTCATATCCTGCATACAGATTTAATTTGGTTTTTGATATGATAAGCTTGACAGTAATCAAGCTTGAAGCTGATCATATCAAAAAAAACCATTACAAAACTATAACAAAGTATTAATAATAGCTATAACGAAGTAAAATTGTTTGTTTCAGCTAAATAAATTTCTCGAAGTAAAGAAAAATTTCAACAATAAACTTTAGATAGAATTAATAGATAAATCTTTTTCTGAATACTTAAATTACTTGCGAAAATCTTTGCAAAATGAAAATTATAATTGAAAAATTATTATGTTATGAAGCTCTTAACTTTTTTGCCATAAATAGCATAAAAAATATGTAATTCATAAAAAATCTTTGAGCAAATATTAAAAATTAAAGTATTTATTTGCCTTTGAAAATGTTCGGATTTCTTTTAAAGTTTGAATTTTAAAAATTT